ACTACAGGCATGTGCCACCATGCCCGGCTAATTTTTTCTATATGTTTTTAGTTGGCCGATTAATTTATTTTCTATTTTTAGTAGAGACGGGATCTCGCTCTTGCTCAGGCTGGTTTCGAACTCCTGAGCTCAAATAATCCGCCCGTCTTGGCCTCCCAAAGTGCTAGGATTACAGGTGTGAGCCACCGCGCCTGGCCAACTACTCAGTTCTTAACATCTCTCTTGTCTAACTTCCTAATGTTCCTTCTCTATATCCTTCATTGTCTCCCCTTACTTCTTTCTAAGAGCAGAATTTCCTCAAGAGTCTAATGTCCTGTTCTCTCTCACTACTCCATCTCTCTTCATCTTATCCTCTTCCTGGACATCAGCTGTTAATAGACGAGAAATGACTTCAAATCTGGATCTCTAGGCCCTCCATATCCTCTGTCCAGCATTTACAACTGCTACCCAGAGATCTCTATTGCAGAGTTTTTCTGCAAGATAAATTCAGCACATTCAAAGCCAAATTATTTTCTATCCCAAACTTCCTTCTGTGGTCTCTCCTTTTTCTTAGAATAGTATCACCAAATCTGTATCACCCAGGCTCAAAGCTCAAAGCCCTCTCTCTACCCTGCATCTACCATTCCTTTCTTCCCGCCTCTCTTTCCCCTTCCAGTTATTGATAAAATACCATAGGGCCTCCAGCCATTAGGAGAATGCCATACATAATACATGCTTAATAAATATTAAGCTGTTCAACTGAGCTGCTTAAAATCAGTCACTGGTTCCCTAATGACTATCAAATAAACCTGATTTTCCCCGAACATACAACCAGACTCCAACATACTTTTCAATTCAATTTCTGTAACCATTTGCTAAAACTAAATACAAGTACTGGGCATCAGGAGACTACAAAGATGAATATGATATGGTCCTTGCTATTTAAGGAGTTTACAATTAGTGAGAGAGACAGACACAGAATAGTTAAAAGAGAAGAATTCATTGAGATTTATTGCATACCACCATGTGCCAGTCAGTTTTAGATGCTGGATATGACCAGTCAAAAATTTCACTTTTATCACCAGTAATACGTCATGTTGACATCATGGATCCCCTCATATGCAATGAGAAGGGCACATCATCTCTGTGGTATTCCTCCAAAAATCTGTAACCTCTGTCAGATGAGAAAACACCAGAAAAATCCAAGTGGAGGCTTTTTCCTATTCTACAGCTATTGCTCTTCAAAAATGTCAAGATCACGAAAGACAAGGAAAGACTGAGGAGTGTCACAGATTGCAAGAGACTAAGGAAGGAGACATGACAGCTAAATGCTGTATGAGATTCTCGATTGGATCCTGGAACAGATAAATGGCATTAGCTGAAAAACTGATAAAATAAAAACAAAGCCTGCAGCTTAGCTAGTAGTATTATATCAACATGAATTTCTTAGTTTTGATAAATGTACCATGGATATTTGAGATATTACAAGTAGGGGAAGTTGAGTGAAGAGTACCTGGAAATTCTCTATATACCTTTGCAACTCTTCTGTAAGTTTTATTTTAAAAGGAAAGTTTTTTAAAAAAATTTCTATTCTCTGGGACCTTGCATTCTAGTGAAGTAGAAACTTTTTACCTTTTACATGTTTAAAATGTAAATGTAGGCCAGGCACGGTGGCTCATGCCTGTAATCCTAGCACTCTGGGAGGCCGAGGCGGGAGGATTGCTTGAGCTCAGGAGTTCGAGACCAGCCTGAGCAAGAGCAAGACCCTGTCTCCACTAAAAATAGAAAGAAATTGGCCAAACTACTAAAAATAGAAAAAATTAGCCGGACATGATGGTGCATGCCTGTAGTCCCAGCTACTCGGGAGGCTGAGGCAGGAGGATTGCTTGAACCCAGGAGTTTGAGGTTGCTGTGCACTAGGCTGACGCCACAGCACTCTAGCCTAGGCAAGAGAGTGAGACTCTTGTCTCAAAAAAAAAAAATGTAAATGTAAAAATGTTCCATGTGTAACATTTACAAAGTAGTTTTATATACATTATCTTACTAAATTCTGTGAGGTAGATTTTAAGTATTCCATTTTTACAAATGAGGAAACAGCCTCCAAGAGATCAGTAGAAGTTCCCCAGTCCATACAGCTATTCTATGGCAGAACTGGAGTTTGAACTCAGGCCATCTGACTCCAAGGTGACAAGTGCTGGAATAGAGGCAGGGTGCACTGTGGGACCACAGGAGAGAGAAGGCTTAATTCTGAACAAGTGATTAGGAATGTCTTAGGAAATATCATTTAAAGTGAATCTTAAAATCTTAAGCTGGTTTTGACAGAGGCTAAGCCATTTCAGGCAAAAGGAAGAGCATGAATAAAGGTGTGGACAAATACAATACATGACATATCTGAGGGGTGGCTGGAGTGTAGGTAGCAGAGGAGCTGTGGGGACCAAGTGGCAGGAGAGGAAGCTAAAAACACACCAGCCAGAACTGCCAGGTGCTCAGTGCTTTGAATGATAAGGAGTCTGGACTTTATCCTGGAGGCAGTAGGGTTTGTGGAAAGTTCCCCCCTCCCTCTTTCCCACCCTTCCTCCCTGCCTTTCTCCCTTCCTATCTTCCTTCTTCGTGGAGTTGTAATCTGGTCAGATATTGGTTTTATGAAGATGGATCTGACATTCACTTGCAAATGGACCAGGAAGAGAGAGGAGGCAGAAGGATCAAGTAGGAGGGTCCCGCAGCAGAGTTACATTTTAGAAAACAGGGTGTGCAGAGCCAAACGGGGTATTTCCGATTCCTGGAGCACAGCCCCCAGTTCCTTGCCTCTTGGGATTTGATGCATACATCCTGGCTTCTTGAGTTGCTTTCACCAGTTCAGCCCGTTAAAATCATACTTGTTCTTCAAGTGCCAGTTTGAATGTCACTCCCTCAAGAAACTCTCATCAAACTTTGGACCCTGGATTACCCTTAGATAATGCATGTGAAGTGCCTGATACAGTGCCTGGCACAGAGCACCTGTCAAACATCGGTAGCCTCACCAGCATGGTTGTTCTACCTTTCTAGACTGTAAAACCCCCAACGGCTAAGTCTTCATTTCAGTTATTTTTGTAACACACCCTCCGACCCTGTGCACTTACCCGCCACATATACACACAGGGTGTGTGCTTAAAGAGCCAAAATTTGTTGAACAAAATAAAATTTTCCTGCTGTGATTAAGGATTTTGGAAATTAGGGGGATCCGTGAGCTAGCATGTGGCATTCATGGATTCATCCTTCAACAGGGTCTCACATACAGCCCGTCCAGGACTGAATCCATCTCACGCAGACCATTTTAAAGGACATGCATCATACTAAGGCTCACATACATGCCCTGCACAGACTTGTGTGAGTCAGCTCTCTGTTTGTTGAGTTTCCAGTTCCCTCCCTGACCTGGAATATAGAAGGAAGGCAAGGTGCTGACAGGGTTGGTCCCTTGAAAGAAGTGACTCACAGGCAGTTCTTGGGCAGGAAACCTGTTGAGCAATATCAGGCGACATACCTTTCTGAATGTGCTCAGATGCCCTGAGGCCCAACCCTTTCTCACTTATTGCTGTTCGTTTTATTCACATGAAGCCACAGCCAGCTTGTGGACTGATAAGTGGGTCCAGGAATTAACCCATGGCGGTCATTCAGCCTTGTGATGGAGGGTGTAGAGATGAAGCCGCCATTCCTCACTGCTCATTCCATAAGGGCAAGTGTGCTGCAAGGCATTAGCAAAGAGGAAGAGATGAGGGCCTGTCCTCAAGAAGCTTGCAGGCTAACAGCATCCTCCCCCAGACGATGGATACTTGACACGGAGATAATGCGCCCGGGAAGAATTGGTTTCAAACACCTTTCCCCTCTC